AAGTAGCTGGGACTACAGGCGCACATCACCACACCCAGCTAATTTTTTTCTGGTATTTTTTGTAGAGATGGGGTCTCGCTATGTTGCCCAGGCTGGCCTCAAACTCCTGAGCTCAAGCAATCCTCCCACCTCAGCCTCCTAAAGTGCTGAGATTACAGGTGTGACCCACTGAACCTGGCCAAAGACTTCTTTTCAACAGGATGATCAGCAGATAAAACACAGTAGAGGAAAGAATTAGTGAAGATAAATCAATAAAAACTGAAAATAAGTCAGTTTTTATCTTCCTTCAATTGATAAGTCAGTAAAAATTACCCAAACTGAAACACAGAAAGGGGTAGTAGGGATGTGTGCAGAACAGTATCCAAGAGCTGTAGTCCAATATGGCATGGCCTAACATACGTCTCATTGTAGTCTCAGAAGGAGAAGAGAGAGAGAACAGGGCAGGAGAAATATTTGAAGACAATAATCACTAAGAATTTCCAAAAATAAATGAAGGGCCACAAACCACAGACATTGTAGTCAGAGTCAAATTCCTGAAAACCAAAGATAAAGAGAGAAAAGCTTTTTCTGAGACAGGGCCTCACTCTGTCACACAGGCTGAAGTGCAATGGTGCAATCACAGCTCACTGCAGTCTCGAATTCCTGGACTTAAGAGATCCTCTCCCCTCAGCCTCCCAAGTAGCTAAGACTATAGGCATGCACCACTATGACTGGTTATTTTTTTTTTTAAGAGATTGGGTCTCCCTGTGTTGCCCAAGCTAGTCTCGAAGTCCTGGGCTTAAGGGTTCCTCCTGCCTTGGCCTCCCAAAGTGCTGTGATTACAGGCATGAGCCACCACACCCAGCCTAATTTTTTTTTTAAGAGATGGGGTGTCGGCCGGGCGCGGTGGCTCAAGCCTGTAATCCCAGCACTTTGGGAGGCCGAGACGGGCGGATCACGAGGTCAGGAGATCGAGACCATCCTCACGGTGAAACCCGTCTCTACCTTAAAAAACAAAAAACTAGCCGGCGCGAGGATGGCGGCGCCCTGTAGTGCCCAGCTACGTCGGGAGGCCGAAGGCAGGAGAATGGCCGAACCCGGGAGGCGGAGCTTGGTCAGTGAGCCGAAGATTACCGGCCACTGCACTCCAGCTGGGGCGATAGAGCGAGACCCGTCTCAAAAAAAAAAAAAAAAAAAAAAAAAAAAGAGATGGGGTGTCACTATGTTGCCCAGGCTGGGGCCTCCCAAAGCACTGGGATTATAGACATGAACCACTGCACCCAGCTGATGAAGAGAAAATTCTGAAGGCAGCCTGTCTTAGTCTTCTTGGGCTGCCATAGCAAATACCATTGACTGGGTGGCTTAAACAATAGAAATTGGCCAGGTGTGGTGGCTCATGCCTGTAGTTCCTGCACTTTAGGAAGTTGAGGTGGGAGGATGGTTTGAGCCCAGGAGTTCAAGACCAGCCTGGGCAACAAAGCAAGACCCCCATCGCTTAAAATAAAATTTTTAAAAAAAAGGAAAGAAAGATTTATTTCTCACAGTTCTGGACGCTGCAAAGTTCAAGACCAAGGTGCCAGCTGATTTAGTTCATAGTGAGCACTCACATTTTCCTACCTCAGCCTGTAGCAGGGGCTGGGGCAATGGCACTGGACCCATCCTAGAAGCCCTCCCCTAAGACCCAGGCTTCCAGGACAGCTCCACTCAGAAACTTCACCATCACCCCAAACTCCACAGCCCCAACTGGAGACCTTTGTCATCCAGCAAAAAAAGGCTCCTCTCCCAGTTAACACAGCCTCCTAGACTATCTGTCTCAGTGTCCTCCAGCCAACCATCAAGTGGAGCCCCCATTTCCAGGGGAGTTGGGTTCCCAGCTGGACCTTCATGTCCTCCTCCCAGGATGGCTTTGGGTGCCTCTCGATGGCCTCTCTGATGCTGGTCTGCCCTACAGAGGCATCCCCAGCCCTACTTAGTCCACAGAGGTTCCTGTGATGTCTAAACATCTCAGCTTGGTCTTAGTGCTCCTGTCATCCACAAATGCACCAGCACCACCACACTCTCCCCAGCAAACATCACGCTTGATCCAGCACATGCCCCCTCGTCTTTCAGGGCATTCCTACACTGTAGCTCCCCTGCAGAGCTGTGGAAATGATTTTTCTACTTTCTCAGAGTGCTCTTCCCTCACTCAACTGCTTCTCCAAAACCTCACCAGTTCTCAGTGTGCACTGGAGTACCCAGAAGAGGGTGCAGAGAGTAGGAAGAAAAGTTACAGATGCTGGGCCAGGTGCAGCGGCCCACACCTGTCATCCCAGCACTTTGGGAGTTCGGGGCGGGCAGATCACTGGAGGCCAGGAGCTCAAGACCAGCCTGGCCAACATGGTGAAGCCCTGTCTCTACCAAACACACACAAAAAAATTAGCTGGGCTTGTTGGCACACATCTGTGGTCCCAGCTACTCCAGAGGCTGAGGCAGGAGAATCTCTTGAACCCTTGAGACAGAGGCTGCAGTTAGCCGAGATTGTGTCACTGCACTCCAGCCTGGGTGACAGAGGAGATTGCCAAAAAAAAAAAAAAAAAAAAACAACTACAGATGCCACTGGTAGTCTCTGATCTGACATCTGAACTGCTTGCCAAGGACCCAGAATCCATTCCTAGAGCACGGGATGGTTTGCAGAGAACTGGGTTCCTCTAGAGGGGAAGAGGGGCGCTAGTGGAGAGAACTGGGGTCCTCTAGGGGAGGAGAGGCGCAGGGCGCAAATCCACTGTAAAGTGGTCGCCGTGTTCATTATTTGATATGTGGCCCCAGGCAAATCACTCATCCTCTCTCTGAGCCTCCATATCCTTATCTGCCCTGACTTCCTTACACAGTCCTCCTGGTGACAATCATATGAGCTACGTGCTGGGGAATGGCCTTGTGAAGGGCAGAGCTCTCTACAAGAGGAGGGCAGGGGTCTCTGCCTCCATCTCTGTATCTAATCAGACCTTCCGGAGCCCTCCAGAGTGGTCCTACTTGCGTGGCCTCACTCCCTCCTGCTTTCTGCACTGGCCATAGATAGATGGTTTTCTGACTGTTTTACACACGAAGGGATTCACCTGTGTTATCTTTGCCACACAATTATAAGCACCTGAGGGACAGGGGCTTTGGTTGCTTAGGGGCCATCTCTAACACATGGCTGGGTACACCGAGGCAATGCCACCTGCTGACTCCTGGCGCCTTCATCATCGCTGCCATCACCTCCATCACCCTCTCCTTGAATAATCTGACCAGAGAAATCGCAGGATCAGTCAGGCCAGGCCTGGGAAGCAGAGATGGAAAGGACCCCTCCTAAGATCCATCCCAGCCCACAGCTTCCCACTCCTGTATATTACCTTAAAGGGAATCTATGTGTTATTAACAAACTCTCATAATGTCCCCAAATCCACAGAGTTCATCACTCCAGCCCTTGAAACTCTCCCATCAGCTCCTCCTCTTCTGTACCTCTCTCCCAACATGCCCTGGGAGGGTAAAGGAGCAATCATCTATCAAGGCTTGGCGGACAGAGGCAGCCTCGCAGGGCCTGAGTCACTGGCTAGGAGGATGGTGGAACTTCCCTGGTAGGTTACTTCGAAGGTGTCCTGCAGGGCTCCAGAGACCCCCACATCAGCTCCCTGCCCCCTCACGACCCCTTCTGCCCTCCCCACAGCCTTCAACTCAAGGTCTCCCTCTGCCGCCTCTCCTCATCCCTGTCCACCCCTGCCAGGAAGGAATCAGAAAGTCTGTTCTGTATGAGAGAAATTATCGGGTAACCAGTCATCTCTCACACACAGCCACGACCAGGCTGAGCAAGGATCCCCGAGCCTCTGTCTCCTCCCGCAGCCCCTCAGCCACTTTGTTGCTGTTGTTGTTGTTTGTTTGAGAGAGTCTCGCTCTGTCGCCAGGCTGGAGTGCAGTGGTGTGATCTCAGCTCACTGCAACCTCTTCCTCCAGGGTTCAAGTGATTCTCCTGCCTCAGCTTCCCGAGTAGCTGGGACTACAGGCGTGTGCCACCACACCCAGCTGATTTTTATATTTTTGGTAGAGTTGGGGTTTCACCATGTTGGCCAGGATGGTCTCAATTTCCTGACCTCGTGATGCGCCTGTCTCAGCATCCCAAAGTGCTGGCATTGCAGGTGTGAGCCACCGCAACTGGCAGCCATTTTTATTTTCTCTTTCTTTCTTTCTTTCTTTCTTTCTTTCTTTCTTTCTTTCTTTCTTTTTTTTTTTTTTGACAGTGTTTCACTCTTAAACACTGGAGTGCAGTGGCACAATCTTGCCTCACTGCAAACTCCACCTCCCAAGTTCCAGTGATTCTCCTGCCTCAGCCTCCCAAGTAGCTGGGATTACGGTTGCCACCCACCATGCCTGGTTAATTTTTATATTTTTAATGGAGACGGGGTTTCACCATGTTAGCCATGCTGCACTCAAACTCCCAACCTCAGGTGATCCACCCACCTGGACCTCCCAAAGTGCTGGGATTACAGGCATGAGCCACCACACCTGGCCCCATCAGCCATTTCTAACTGGAGGGGATTCCCCGGGTGCACCTGAGGCAGCTCCAAGTTAAGAGAGGACACTGTCAGACAGCCCTCTGGATTCCCTCTCTCCCGACCAGGGCTGGCAGCATGTGCAGTGCCCCTGTGAGGCTTGGAAAGACCCATCCCTCCAGCAGATAAAGCCCCCAGGAGGAGGGTGGGCAGAGCCCACTGTCTGTGACAAAACCCCCTCATCCTCCTGGGGGGAGTCTGGAGAGCAGAAGCTGTGGATTTCAGCCACCCCACGGCCAGGGGCTGTGTGCAGACCATCCCCTGCACACCACAGGCACCCACAGGTCTCCACAGTGACCCCTTCAGCAGCCCCAAGGCAAGATGAGGTCACAGCTCTGTGGCAGCCCCTTGCCATGCAAAGGGGAGGAGGCCACCTGCAGTCCTGCTGCCTGAGGCAGGGGCGTGTACTATGACCACCCAGGAGCACTGGACCCGGAGCATCAGCCCAGGGGCACTCACCCTGTGTCAATGTAGCAGTAAAGGACGCGCAGAGCCAGAGAGCCAGCGTCGGAATCCAGATCACCAGCATTTCCCGGGGAACGGGCCCCTGGCTGCCCGCCTTCCCCCGTCAAGAGGGACCAAGAAATGAAAGCCTCCCAGGAAGGGATCAGCTATAAAAAGGACCCCAGAGACCTTTGCCTTGAAGAAGAGCAGTGCCTGTCCCAGGGCAGAGGTGAGGTGATGGCGTTGCGTGGGTGGCGCGTGGTGATCACAGGGAGTTAGACAAAAGGCAGCCTATCCACCCTCCTCCCTTATAAGTCCTGGAGCAGTGACCGCCCTGAGCCGGGGACCCTCTCTTTCAGCGGAAGTCAGAGCCACTGTGGGTGGGGCAGCGAAGGAGGGAGGGACAGAAGCTGGAGGTGTGAGCACACCACGGGTGACAAGAGGTGGGGGCCAAGAAGCGCCGGAGGGCGGGTGACCATGGAGGGAAGGGGCAGCCGGCAACAGGCCAGAGCAAGCTAAGGACCCTCCACTCCCACCCCCGAGAAGCCCCTCTCTCTTCCAGCCATCCCTCCCCATTCCCCGCCTCGACATGGTCCTTTCCAAATGTCCAGGGCTTTCCCTGGGGTCCCCAGCTTCCAGCCCTTCTCCTGGGCGGGGTGCCCACTCACACCTGAGACTTTATGGTCCTGGTCTCCACCCCTGGCCAGACACAGAGGTGACAAAAGGCCATGGCCCGTCCCTGCCCAGGGCAAACATCACAGGGGCCTCTCCCAAGCCCGCACCCAAAGACCCAAGGGGACATGTTGTTTCTGAACACCCTCAACTCCTCAGGCAGGCCTGACTGCCTGCAACAGCAGGAACAGAAGGGCCCTGTGCCAGCACAGACAGGCTCTGCTGTGTGAGTTTGCTATCAGGGTTTGGGGGCCTTGTGGGGAATCCAGATCTTTGGGGAGGCCCAGCTTTACCCATCCTTGTAAAGGGTGACTGGACCAGGCAGCCCTAGCCGCTGGACCACCCAACTCCCTGACCCGGCACCAGCGGTCTAATTGCTCCCTAAGCCCCCAGTGTCAAGGTCAGGGCAGTGGTGGGGGTGGGGAGAGCACGGATGACAAAGCCCAAGGGGCCCCTGCCCCGAGTCACTCCCCAACAAAATGGGTTCCCCCCAACCTCTGTGTTTTCTATGAGGAACGTCATGGCCCCCAAGAGCTGCCCACAGACCCCCTCCTTCCTCCCTGGAAGACACGGGTGATCCCAGGATCCTCCTACTGCACCGCCTCTGGAAATCCCTGTTCTCCAATCAGGTGGAGAGCACTGCGGGGTGAAAGGGAGACAGAGAGCAGCTTCTTTTACAATAAACTCTATATTGTGTTCACATGGAGACCTGCAGATGTGCCGACTTCCGGTCCCCGAAGTCGATCTTTGCGGCCAAGGAGATTGAGGATTTCAGGAGTCAGAGTTACCGCAGGAATCGAGGTGACACCAGCCAGAGAGGGGGGAGAAGGGGAAAAGGAGGGGATGGGTTAAAAGGCAGTGGTGAGGTGAGAGGGGAGGGAGATTGAAGGGAGTGAGGAGGAGGGGGACTGAGGGGGCTGCCTTTCCTTGGGGACTGGGGAATTCATGCCCTGCCCCCACCCTCGGGGCTCCAGGGGTGAGAGAAAGGGGTGGAGAATGGAGAATCAGGTAGGGAGGTGATGGGGGGAAACAGCAGTCAGGGTATTTAGGGCTGGGGGAGTAGAGGCAGAACCGATGAATGGACCGGCTCAGAAGGGGAGAAGATACAAGGAATGAGAACAAGAGAAAGGGGGAATTGGGCAACGGGGGGATGGGGGGAACAGCAGCTGGGGTACCCTAAGACACAGAGGCTATCTATACCTTGCTAGGGACCAGAATGTGAGGAGAGGAGGGAGGATTTAGGGCTGGGGGACTGGGGGGCAGGATGCTTGAAGGAACGGTGTCAGAAGGAGAGGACATCTAAGGAATGAGAGCAAGAGACACAGCAGGGAGTTAGATCAGGAGAGGACAGGAGATGGGATGGGCTGCAGGCTGCCTCCAGGTTCAAAGTAAGAAACAGGCAGTAGGGAATTGAGAGAAAATAGGAACCAGGGCCGGAGACCAGGCGAAGGACATGAGGATTGGAGGATCCGAGAGAGGCAATGGCAACATGAGGGCTGAGACAGGAGGGCAGAGTAGGACCCAGAATTGACCAAGTCCATGTGGTTTACACAACAATGGTGTGAGATATCACAGAGGAATGTTGTACCCATTTTGCAGGTGAGGAAACTGAGGCTCCTTACTGACTTGCCCAAGGTTCCGCAGTGGAAGAGCCTGCACCTGAACTGCATCTCCTGGTGGGTTTCAGCCAAGTTGGAAAGACAAGGATGGGAATTGGGGGAACAGTTTCATTTTGCCCAAGAACAGCAGGAGCCTGGGCTGCCCGCATCCTGGGGCCACCACTTGAAATGGACGCAGTGCAGAGCCTTGTGTCCCGGGCAGGGCAGAGGCGATGGTGACGGGGCCCTCAGGGCTCACACTGAGGACGAGGTCATCTCAGGTCTGGGTCTCTCTGCTGTGGCACCTGTCACAGAGTCACAAGTGAGGAAGGGAAGGCACGGCACTGTTTGGGCCTGACACTGGCTGATCCGAGCCCAGCTCCCTCTTGCCCTGGTTGGTGAGGTTTGGGGAGGATCTGGAATGGAGGTCGGGAGAGTTCACTTGTGGGTCCCCCTCTTTAGCCCCTCATCCTTCATAGTGGAGTCCCACGTTCTCCCAAGGGCCACCGGAATTTTCATCCTTGTTAGAGAAGAGAGAGAGAGGGAGAGAGAAGAGGGGAAAGAAAGAGGGGGGAGACGGACGGGAGGGAAAGGGAGAGGGGGACAGAGTAAATGCGAGGAAGGCAAGGAAGGGCGTCTTCCCTCGCTGTACCTCAGTGATGCCAGGAAGCCCCTGCTGCTTCTCCAGGAGTGGGACTCCCTGTACTATCCGTCCGACTCTGAAACCCAGTTTTTGCAAAAGTGCCACGACTTCCCATCCCAGGTCTCGAACCATTTCTGTCCTGGTCCAGGACCTAGCGTGGGCCGCACGCGGTCAGGACACAGCGGCCCGCCTGGGGCCCCTCCGGCCGCCCTCGCACCGGCCCATCTTTCGCGCGCTCCCGGTCCCTACAGGATACTGGCACTCCACAGTCCGGAGCGCACTGCCCATGACACCGCAAGCGCTAATGTAGCACAGCAGCAGCAGCAGCGCGGCGCCCGCCGTCGCCCCGACCCGCGCCCCTCCAGTGGATGCCCCTCGCAGCGCGGGCCGGAAACCAGTGCGTGTCCCGTGGAGTAGCGCTACGGGAGATCGCAGAGTCAAGACCCTCTTCACCTCGCTCGGGGTCACACGTGCACCTTGGGTCCCCCGGGGGCGGTGGGGGCGAGGTCGGGCCCCAGCTAGGCAGCTGGGGCTTCCACCCTAGGGCCATCGGGGTCGTTCCCCTATGACAGGGCCGGGATATCACCCTAAGGAAGGAGGGGGCTGGGCTCCACCCTAAGGAACAACAGGTGAGTTCCGCCCTAGAACAAGGGGGCAGGGACTCACCCTATGGC